ATTACATGGGATAGTTTAAAGAGAAATCATATTAGGTCTTCTTAGAAGGTCTGATAGAATTCTCCTCTAAAACCATCTGATCCTGGGCTCTTATGTTGGAGAGACTTCTAATGAATGCTGCTATTTCTTTAGGGGTTATGGGAATTTATCAATGGTTTATCTAATCCTGATTTAACTTTGATACTGGTGTCTGTCTGGAAAATTGTCCATTTCATCCAGATTTTCCAATTTTGGTGAGTATAAGCTTTTGTAGTAGGATCTGATGATTTTTTGATTTTCTCAGTTTCCATTGTTATGTCTCCCTTTTCAGTTCTAATTTTTATTAATTTGGATACTGTCTCTGTGCCTTCTGGTTAGTCTGGCTAAGGGTTTATCTATCTTGTTGTTTTTTTCTCAAAGAACCAACTCCTAGTTTTGTTGATTCTTTGTATAGTTCTTTTGTTTCTACTTGGTTGACTTCAGCCCTGAGTTTGATTATTTCCTTCCATCTATGTTTCTTAGGTGTATTTGCTTCTTTTTGTTCTATAGCTTTCAGGTGTGTTGTTAAGCTTCTAGTGTGTGCTCTCTCCAGTTGGTTTTCTGTTGTTGTTGTTGCTTTTTGTTGTTTTTTTGGTTTTTTTTTGTGTTTTTTGGGTTTTTTTGGGTTTTTTTTTTGCTTGTTTTGTTTTTTGTAGGCACTTAGAGTTATGAGTTTTTCTCTTAGCACTGCTTTCATTGTGTTCCACATGTTTTGGTATAATGTGTCTTCTTTTCCATTAGATTCTAAAAAGTCTTTAATTTCTTTCTTTATTTCTTCTTTGACCCAGTTATCAGTGAGGAGAGCATTGTTCAATTTGCCTGTGTATGTGGGCTTTCCATTGTTTTTGTTGTTATTGAAGACTAGTCTTAGTCTGTAGTGATCTGATAGGATGTATGGATTATTTCAGTTTTCTTGTTTCTGTTGAGGCTTGTTTTGTGACCAATTATAAGGTCAATTTTGGAGAAGGTACCATGAGGTGCCGAAAAGGAGGTATATTGTTTTGCTTTAGGATGAAATGTTCTATAGATATCTGTTAAATCCACTTGATTCATAACTTCTCTTAGTTTCACTGTGTCTCTGTTAAGTTTGTGTTTCCATGTTCTGTTCATTGCTGAGAGTGAGGTGTTCAACTCTCCCAATATTGTTGTTTGAGGTGCAATGTGTGCTTTGAGCTTTAGTAAAGTTTCTTTTATGAATGTGGGTGCCCTTGTGTTTGGAGCATACATGTTCAGGATTGAGATTTCTTCTTGGTTGTTTTTTCCTTTGATGAGTATAAATTTCCTCATCTTTTTTGATAACTTTAGGTTGAAAGTCAATTTTATTTGATATTCAAATGGCTACTCCAGCTTGTTTCTTGTGACTAACTGCTTGGAAAATTGTTTTCCAGCCGTTTTCTCTGAGATAGTATCTGTCTTTGTCACTGAGGTGCATTTACTGTATGCAACAAAATGCTGGGTTCTGCTTACTTATGAAGTCCATTAGTCTATGTCTGTTTACTGGGGAATTGAGTCCATTGATGTTAAGAGATATTAAGAAAAAGTGATTGTTGCTTCCTGTTATTTTGTTTTTCACCTCTAATAACAAAAATAACTGAGAATTATGTCTGCATGGCTATCTTCTTTTGAGTTTATTGGAAGAAGATTACTTTCTTGCTTTTTCTAGCGTATAATTTCCCTCCTTGTATTGGCATTTTCCCTTTCTTATCCTTTTTCAGGCTGGATTTGTGGAAAGATATTGTGTAAACTTGGTTTTGTCATGGAATACCTTGGTTTCTCCATCTATGGTAATTTATAGTTTTTCTGGATACACTAGCCTGGCATTCATATTCTGTTAGGGTCTGTATGACTTCTGTCCAGGATCTTCTGGCTTTTATAGTATCTGATGTGATGTCTGGTGTAATTCTGATAGGTCTGCCTTTACTTGACCCATTTCCCTTACTGCTTTTAATAATCTTTCTTTGTTTTGTGCATCTAGCATTTTGATTATTATATAATGGGAGGAATTTCTTTTCTGGTCTAGTTGATTTGGAGTTTTGTAGACTTCTTGCATATTCATAGGAATCTCTTTCTTTAGGATAGGGAAGGCTTCTTTTATAATTTTGTTGAAGATATTTACTAGCCTTTTAAGTTGTGAATCCTCACACTCTTCAATATCTCTTCTATATCTTCTACTATCCTTAGGTTTGGTCTTCTCATTGTGTCCTGGATTTCCTGGATGTTTGGGGTTAGGAGCTTTTCACACTTTGTATTTTCTTTGACTATTGTGTCAGTATTTTCTATGGTATCTTCTGCACCTGAGATTCTCTCTTTTAGTTCTTGGATTCTTTTGGTGATGCTTGCATCTATGACTCTTGATCTCTTTCTTAGGTTTTCTATCTCTAGGGTAATCTCCCTTTGTGAGTTCTTTATTGTTTCTACTTCCATTTTTATGTCCTTGATGGTTTTGCTCAATTCCTTCATTTGTTTGGTTGTGTTTTCTTATAATTCTTTAAGGTATTTTTGTGTTTCCTCTTTAAGGGCTTCTACCTGTTTACCTGTGTTCTCCTGTATTTCTTTGAGGGAGTTATTTATGTCCTTCTTAAAATCTTCTATCATCATGATGAGAAGTGATTTCCAATCTGAGTCTTGCTTTTCTGGTGTGATAGGGTATTTCCTCACTGTATCTGACTGAAGCCTGTCTTTCATATTATCTTGGTTGGGTCAGAACTCCTGAGACTCCAGCTGTCTCTGTGATCCTGTGATCCTGAGATCCTGGATGTAAGAACTCCTAGGAATCAGGATGCCTCTGTGATCCTGATATCCTGGTGTGACCAATCTCCTGAGATCCTGTGATCCTGTGATCCCATGTTCCTGGGTGTATTAGAGCTGCTGGAGTCTATCATCCTCTGGTTTTGTGGGGTTGAGTGCAGAACTCAAGGTCTGCTAAGGGCACCAATGCAGATTGAAGGAACCTGTGTTCCTGCCCAAGAGTGACTTCCTAGGTCCTCTAGTGTCCTGGTTACTCCCTATTTGGGGCAAGTTTTTCTGCCTCCTTACCTACAATCCTGGACGTATTAGAGCTCCTGGAAGTCCAGCCTCCTCTGGGTGTTGTGGGGTTGAGTACAATGCTAGTGTTCAAGGACTGCCCAGGGCACCAGCACAGATAGGAAGAAACCTGGGTCACTGGCCAGGAGTGAGTTCCTGGGTACCCAGGGGTCCTGGCTACTCCCTGTTTGAGGCCATTGTCACTGCCTCCTTACCTATGATCCTGGCCATGTTAGAGGTCCAAGAATTCCAGCCTCCTCTGATCACACGCTTTTACACATAAAATCAATACAGTTGGCCTATGGACACATCATGACACAGTGATGCAAAATTTATGAAATAACAAGATAATATTTGCCTCTAAAAGAGCAAGAGACTACCAATACAACTCTAAGAATTTCAAAATTGAGAAATGTTAGGCAATTTTGCTTTACTGGAAAATACTGTTGAACAATCTGACAAAATTAGAAATGAAGTACACATAATGAATGGCATGTATCCAGAAATAAATCTCATTATAAAGAATCAAACATAGACATGTTAATAACTACTAAGTCAACAAAATGGAGTTAGAGTAGCAAACCTTTTTGAGGTGTTTATTTTTTTAATTAAAAATATATATATTTTTATACAATGTATCCTGATAATAGTTTCCCCTTCATCTACTCCTCTCAGTTCTCTCTCCTCTTCCCCCTTCTTGATCTACTGCCTTTCTGTCTATCATTAGAAGAAACATCAGGCTTTTAAAAGATAACAACCAAATATGACTAAAGAAAATATAGTAAGTTGAAGCAAAATTATCATATAGATGGTGGACACAGCAACTCCATAAGAGGAAAAGAATACCAAAAGCTAGCACAGGAGTCAGAGATCAACTTGTTCTCACAGTCAGGAATCCCACAAAACTAAGCTAATAGGCTACGGTATATATGCAGGAGGACCTACTGTGGACCTGGATCCTGCCTGTGCTTGCTTCTTCAGTCTCTGTGAGCTCACTTTCTTCTGGCATAGTTGATTGAGAGGGACTTGTTCTTCTGGTGTCATCCATCTACTCTGACTCTTAGTACTAACAGCAAGTCAGTTAGAAGAGTATCTAACATTGAATGTTAGTTACATGAAACAACTCAGCAGTCATATAAGTGGAAAAACAAATTAAAATGACTTTAGAAAGTTTCAAAGACATTTTAAATGATTAGATGTTGAGCTTTGAGTTGTTTAAAGAAGTTAAGGGATCCCATCCTGAAAAAACACACAGAGCCACAATTATTTTTTAAAAATCATAGGAAAATGTATTTCTATTTTTTGAAAGTTTGAGACATCCAGGTTTAAGAGCATCAAGGGATTCCTAATGAACTTTCCCAAATGGCACTATCTGGTTTACTTTTTTCATCAACTTGGCAAAATCCTGTACAAAGAAAAAAGGAAAACATCAATAGAAAAATAACATTTGAGATCATGACATATTTACTATTAGACAAACATCCTGCTTCACAGTAGATACCCTAAGTGTCAGAATATAATGTGGTAATACATTCCAGACCAACATAGAAGAGGCTGAAATTACATGCAAAAAAATTATCTCTCAGAAATTAAGGAAATGGCAAGTCTGTGAGAAAGAAGAAAACTCATGAATTTATTACTGTCAGGCCAATTGTATAAGACATGGCTAAGGGAGTCCTGTACTAGAAGGAAAAAAAGGATAGCACCATAACCGTATGAATATGTGAAAGACAAAAGCAATAGCTGAGCTAATACAGAAAGGAGAGAAGAAAATAATCATAAATTATACATTATATGCTGATATCATTAAAGTGAATAAGTAAGAGAAAAGTAAACTAGCATATACAAACAAGATTAAAAACTGAACAAGATGATATGTACCTATGCTTTGTCATCCAAGCCTCCCTGTGGATGCCTTTCCCCTAACAGGGCTGCCTTGTCTAGCCTCAATAGGATAAGATGTGACTAGTCCTACTTCAATTCGACATGCCAGAGGGGCTCCATATCCAAGGTAGACCTCCTCTTCAAGAAGTAAAAGAGAGAGAGGATGGAGGAAAGGTAGGTGAGAGGGAGGGGCTGGGAGAAAGGAAGGAGTGGAAGCTGTGTTGAGAATGTAAAGAAAGTTAACTAATTCATGAATAAAAAGAAATTCACTTCAAGAGTAAGAACACATGGACTTAAAACAAAAGATTAAACAATAAATATGATGCAAATAGAAACATAAAATGAGTTCTGGAGTTACATTAAATTAGAATTAAGAAAGACACATTTCAAAAGTGATTAACAGTTTTGTAGGTTTTTTTAATTAATTGGTTTTTTTTATTTATTTGCTCTACATCCTATTTTCTGCCTCCCTCTGGTCCACTCCTTTCCATATTCCTTCCTTCCATTCCTCTCCCTTTCTCTTCTATGCAGGTAGGAGCTCCGCTGGGTATTCCCCCCCACCATGGTAAATCAGGTCTCTGTGGAAGTGCATCCTCTCCCACTGAGGCCAGACAAGGCAGCCAGCTAGAAGAACATATCTGATGTGCAGGCAACAGCTTTTGGGATAGCTCAGCTCCAATTGTTAGGGACTCACATGAAGATCAAACTACAGATCTGCTACAAATGTGCAAGTGAGGCCTAGAATTCAGCCTTTGTATGGTCTTTGGTTGATGGTTCAGCCTCTGAAGATCCCCAAGCTGCATCTACTGTTTAAATGTGAGTATCTGGATCTGAGTCAGATGCTGGGTAGAGCCTCTTAGAGCCTCTTAAAGAATGAATAATCATGCTAGGTAGAAAGAGAATGGGAAGACTTCTCGCTGATTTTAGTGGCATTCCTTTAAGTTTTTCTCCATTCATTTTGATATTGGCTATTGGCTGGCTGTGTGCTATGTTTAGGTATATGCTTTGTATCCCTGATCTCTCTGATACTTTTAATAGGAAAGGGGAGTTGGATTATGTCAAAAGCATTTTCAGCACATAATGAGATAATCGTGAGATTCTTTTGAGTCTGTTTTGTGGTATATAGACTTTTGAATTAAGAGCTATTGATTCTTTGAATGTCAGTGTCTGCCATTGTGTCTCTCTTTTCATTTCTGATTTTGTTTATTTGAATACTGTCTCTCTGCCTTTTGGTTTGTTTAGTTAAGTGTTTGTTTATCTCCTTAAATACTAAAGAACGAACTCTTCCGGCTGGAGACATGATTCAGCAGTTAAGAGCACTGACTGCTCTTCTAGAGGTCCCAAGTTTAATTCCCAGCAACCACGTGGTGGCGCACTACCATTTGAAATGGGATCTAATGTCCTTTTTTTTTTTTTTTTTTTTTTTTTTTTTTTTTTTGCTTTGACTGAAGACAGCTACTGTGTACTTGTATAAGTAACAAATAAAGAAAAAAAAAAAAGAACCAACTCATGGTTACGTCCATACTTTGTATTATTTTCTTTGTTACTAACTAATTAATTTCTGCCCTGAATTTCCTACTACTCCTTTTTTGTTTGTTTGTTAGTTTGTTTTTTGTTTTTGTTTGTTTTTGTTTTCTTGAGACAGGATTTCTCTGTAGAGCCCTGGCTGCCTGGCTGTCCTGGAACTCACTCTGTAGACCAGGCTGGCCTCTACCTCAGAAATCCGCCTGCCTCTGCCTCCCAAGTGCTGGGATTAAAGGCATGTGCTACCACTGCCTGGCTCTACTCCTCTTTTGTATGGAAACACTTAATGCTATAACCATTCTTCTTAGCACTGCTTTCATAGTGTCCCATGAATTTCGGTTTGTTGTGCCTTCATTTTCACTGAATTCTAGAAAATATTTGGTTTCTTTATTTCTTTCCTTACCCACAGATCACTGAGCAGAGAGTTGTTCAATTTCCAAGCGTATGTACCATTTTATTTCATTGTTTCTGTTGTTGAAGCTTTAATCCATAGTGGCCTGATAAGATACCAGGTATTGTTTGAATTTTCTTGTATCTGTTGCGGCTTGCTTTGTGACTGATTATATGGTCAATTTTGAAGAAGGATTCATGAGGTGCTGAGATGAATGTATATTCTTTTGTGTTTGGGTGAAATGTTTTATACACATCTGTTGGGCCCATTTGCTTAATAATGTTTATTAGTTTCATTTTTTTTTCTGTTTAGATTTTTCTTGATGTCCAATTAATTGATGACACTGGGGTGTTGAGGTCACCCATTATTAATGTGTGTGGTTCAAAGTGTGATTTAAGCTTTAGCAACATTTATTTTACAAATTTGGGTTCCTTTGCGCTTGGGGCATAGATATTCAGAATTGAGATATCAACTAGGTAGATTTTTTTCTTTGATGAATATGAAGTGCCCTTCTTTGTATCTTTTGATTAATTTTTGTTGAAATTATATTTTATTAGGCATTAAAATGGATACTCCAGCTTTCTTCTTGGGCCTATTTGTTTTTTAAAACTTATTTCTAGCCCTTTACTCTGAAGTAAGGTCTGTCTTTACTGGTGAAGTATATTTTTTTAAAATAAAACATCCATTCTATTACTCTGTGTCTTTTTACTGGAGAACTGAGCCCATTCATATGGAGAGATACTAATGACAAGTGATTGTTAATTCTTGTTATTTTGATGTTGGTGGTGTTACGGTTAGTGTGTGTTTGTGTGTGTGTGAGTGTGTGTGCGCGTGTGTGTATGCTGTCTTTTCTTTGTTTTTGCTGGTATGGAATTACTTATTTGCTGTGTTATCTTATTTTTTTTTGTTAGAGTTTTCCTTCTTGTTTTTTCAGTAGGGCTTGATTCATGGATAATGTTTTCTGAATTTGGATTTGTCTTGAAAAATTTTTCCTCCATCTGTGATGATACAGAATTTTGCTTGGTATACTAATCTGGGTTGGAATCTGTGGGTTTTTAGAGGTTATAAGATATCTTTTCAGTCTCTTCTAGATTTTAGAGTCTCTGTTCAGAAGACTCTAATTCTGAGTATAATTCTGTTAGTTCTGACTATGTATGTTACCTGTATCTTTTCCCCTTGCTGCTTTTAATATCTATCCTTTGTTCTGTAGATTTTGTATTTTGATTATTATGTGGTGGGAGAATTTTCTTCTCTGGTACATTCTATTGGTGTTCTGTAAGTTTTTGTTTATTAACTGGCATCTCTTTCTGTAGGGTGGAAAAGTTTTCTTCTCACATTTTGTTGGAAATATTTTCTGGACCTTAGACCTGGGACTCTTCATCTTCTTTTCCTATTACTCATAGGTTAGGCCTTTTCATGGTATGCCAGATTTTCTAAATGTTTTGTGTCAGGAATGTTTTAGATTTAACATTCTATTTGACTGATGTATGAATTTCTTCTATTGTATCTTCTATATCTGAGATTCTTTCTTTTGTCTCGTATATTCTGTTGATGACACTTGCATTTGTTGTTCCTGATTCCTTCCCTTGTTTTCAATCTCCAATATTCCCCTAGTTTGTCTTTTCTCTATTGCTTCTATTTCTACTTTTTGATTTTACACAGTTTTATTTCGTTCACCTGTTTCTTTGTATTTTTATGTACATCTTTGAGTGATTTAATAGCTTCCTCTTTAAAGATCGCTATCTGTTTGATTGTATTTTCTGGCTTTTTTTTTTTTTAAAGGATTTCTTCATTTCCCCTTTAAAGGCCTCTATCATCGCTAGAAGATTAGATTAATGGTCATTTTCTTGTGCTTTGTTTGTGTTAGGATACCCATGGCTTGCTGCAGTAGGGTAGCTGTGCTCTAAGGCTGTCTTATTGCTGTGGCTTTTGTCATTGTGGCTTTTGGAGGACCAGTAGCCATCTTGATGGCTTTGGCCCTGGATGTTCCTTCCCTAGTAATCATCGTGATAGGGGTTAACCTGAATGTTTCTGGTGTGGTAGGCCTCTAATGGGTATCCTTGGGTTGTATGGTTTAGGATCCATAGGTCTATATGGTTCAGGTTCTGCCTGTCTAATCAAGATGTGCAAAGGGTTGGGAGGAGAATGGAGGTCCAGAGGGATAGCATTCTGCTAAGGGTAGCTTAACATACCCATAGAGGTTTCAGTGAGCAAGAAGGATGGGTAGAGGAACGGAAGCTAACTTGTATGGTCCTGAGTTCACCAGTCTGGGTCTGATTAAAGTAGGTGGAGAGGTAGCAGGAGAATGTATTAACAGTTTTAAATAGGAAGTTTGAGGAAAAGAAATCACAAGTGTAAACACATGTGAATGAGGTGAGAACATGTAGCTCTACTCAAGAAGTGTTGCTAGATGTAATGATTATTAATTATGGTTGTTATGACAACACAACATAAACAAAATGGTTCCAGTCTCTCAGGCCTAGTGGCAGTTAAGGGAAATCAAATAAAATTTACAGTTTTTATGGACTGCACTTTTCTAGACTGTGAGGTGATCAGTATAGAAAGTAACTAAATTTGCTTGAAGAACAACACAGTACATGCCATTTATATTCTATTATATAATTATAGAAAAGTTTAAAATAACTCAAACCTTGGAGATTTTATAAGGAATTTAATTTTGGCATCTGACGTCACTATGCCACAATCAGCACTGTCAGTGCCTTCTGTACACACTCACCTACTTACCTCACAGATATTAGTATGGGATACAGTAGTAAGATCTACCTGCTTCTATCCACCATAACCAGAGCTATCTTCTCTGCCACACCTTCCCCTTCATGAGGTGATGAAGCTCTGAACCTATGAAGTTATTCCAGATCCAGTCTTGTGTTGAAAATCGTAACATTGAAGTCTTAGTATTGATTTGACGGTTTGGACATCACAGAGGTTGTGTGACTGTGACTGAGACTTGTATTCAACTCCAAGTGAGTGGTGATGCACAGTCTGTGTAAATCTCTATTGAGCAACCTGACATAAGAATGAGTAAGTGCTTTGAGTACAGTTCAAGAAACTTCCCTGTGGAACCAAAGGGGCCAGACTTGGAGGATACCTGAATATAGCGTAAGATAGTCAATATTTCATATGGCATATATAAAATGAAACTTCATACAGCATTAGATAGGACTTTAGATGGGATACATACACACACACATACACACACACACACACACACACACACACAGACACACACACATATTTATAGTTATAAAAAGCCAGGATGTCTTTATGAATAAAGGAAAGTATACAATACTTGACAACAATAAAAATATATTTCCTTCATCTAGTGAATATACTCTAGTACTGGGGAGACAAACCTGAAGAAAAGAGAAAGAATAAACAGTAAACAAAGAGAGGGCATATCAACTGCTTACATTATATGTTAATGACAAAATCTCCATAAGACTAAAAACAAAAACTCCTTAAGGCAGTAAAGACAGAACATTAAATGATTTATTGAGAGAATCACAACAGGTCATTATAAGAAATCAAAAGTAAAGAACCAAAATAGTATTGGCAAGCATATATCAGATGAGTGGGTGGCAGAAGACAGGAAATAAAGGTCTAATCCGCAAACAGAGACTTCAAGCAGAACAAGACAGGCGAGAGTATCCAAGGGGGAGAGAGAGAGAGAGAGAGAGAGAGAGAGAGAGAGAGAGAGAGAGAGAGAGAGAGAGAGAGAGAGAGGAAATGTTATAAATGTAGAGAGAAAAGATATCCAAAACGAATGCCTTGTCTTAAAATGACAACAGAAAATGACATCTTTTATGAGTCTGATGAGGATTAAAAGACTTTAATGAATTTAATGAATGTCTTTATCATTGGGAACTACAACTACAGAGTT